CCCAACAGTTAACAGTGGCAACAATTTTTAAAAATATGAGTTTTTTCCTTGAAAAGCAACATCAGCTGTAAATGTTTGTTTATTTATTTATTTACTGTATTTGTATACCGCCTTTCTCAAGCAATCGGCAACTCAAGGCGGTTTCCAACAAATCAGTACACATAGAACATAATATAAATTAAGACATTAAACAGTATAAAACACCACAAAAGCAATAAAAACAACATCATTCGCGTCCCCTTATTATCAAGCTTTGTCCAGTTGCATTGTCAAGTCATTCGATTTCCTATATTAGCTACTCTGCATTTGTGAACGCTTGCTCGAACAGCCATGTTTTTACTTGCCTACGAAATGTTGAGACTGAGGGAGCAGATCTGATCTCCGAGGGGCCACCACTGAGAAGGCCCTGTCTCTCATCCCCGCCAAACATACTTGTGACAAAGGCAGGACCGAGAGCAGGGCCTCCCCAGACGATCTTAAAGTTCTTGATGGTTCGTAAGGGGAGATACATTCAGAAAGGTAAATTGGGCCAGAACCATTTAGGGCTTTATAGGCCAAAGCCAGCACTTTGAATTGGGCCCGGTAGCAAACCGGCAGCCAGTGGAGATGGTGCAACAGGGGGGTTGTATTCTCCCTGAGCGACGCTCCAGTTAGCAACCTGGCTGCTGTTCTTTGTACTAGTTGAAGCTTCCAGACAGTCTTCAAAGGCAACCCCATGTAGAGCGTGTTGCAGTAGTCTATACAGGATGCAACCAGAGCGTGTTCTACCGTGGCCAAGTATGTTCTAAGTTGGGGCAGGAATGATACAGTCTCCAGATATTGCTTGGACTGATTCTCCCAGCATTCCCCACCATCAGTTACACTGACTAGACTGCTGGGAATAGTGCTCCAACATCATCTAATGGGATGGATGACTCCTATTCCTGTTCTAAAGCAAAGGTGAACATTCACAACTAAGGTAAAGAAAAAATACCCGTAAGACTTTATGATGCATGTTGTATTCTATTTACGCAGAAGCTATCCACACTGTTCAATGGCATTAACTTCTTGGTAGGGGCATATAAAATTACAAGCTTGGTTACTCAGAAGGTAAAGAACATGTGAAGGCAGTTATTTTAGAGTTGGCTTACAGAGCAGAGTCCACAAAAGGTTCATACTGTAATAGGTTTTAAACGGCGGGGGGGGGGGGGGGGGGAGTACAGGTTGAATACCCCTTATCTGCTTTGAACCAGTAGTGATTTGAATTTCAGAATGTCTCCATACATCTCAGAGATGAGACCCACATCTAAGCACAACATTCATGTAACTTATACGTACACAGTGCCTGAAGGTAATTTTAAACACAGTATTTTTTGATAATTTTGTAAGTGAAATAAAGTTTGTGGACACTGAACTATAAAAAAGTAAGATGTCAGTACATCAGCTATCCACGATTTTGAAGCATTCTGGATTGTATTTCAAAAGGAACTTAAGACGGGGGTGGATTGTAAATTACCATTATATGTGAGGGTTTTTTTAATACCTTATAACAAAGTATGCCACTTTGTGTATATGAAACATACATGAATTTCATGTTTAGACTTGGCTCCCATCTCCAAGATTTGATGTATATGTAAACATTTGAAATCCAACACATTTTTAGTTCAAAGTGAATAAGAGACACTCAACCTTTACTTCTCTCCTGTTAAAACCGTGAAGCCTTGTGACATATTTAGACTAGCAGACTTATTTCACCTTTAGAAAGTCACACCACTGGTTCCCACTTATTTTCCAGATACAGTGTTGGTTCTACCCCTTAAAGTCTAACAAGGTTTGGGTCTAGGTTCCCCAGAAGATCGCCTTCTCTGGGATCTTCTTCCTTGGACACTGGGGAACATTTACTTCAACCAGCCAGAACCAGACTGACAACTGTCATTTGAAGATCCTCAGGCTGTAGAATAACCTGCTGGAAGAGTTTTGACAACTAAAGCTGTCAGAATTTAAAACACAATTAAACACCAACCTATTCCAGCAGGTTTACCCAGTCAATTTTAAACTATGAATTCAAATTTCTATTTCATCAGAATCAGTGTTTTCAACTTTATTATGTTTCTTCAATATATATATTTCTATCATATTCTTTGTTCTGTCTATGTATTTTAACTATGTTGTACCCCACCTCGAGCCGTGAGTAACAAATTATCATCATGGAAGCCGCTCTAAGTCCCCTTCACAGGCACAGTTGGCAGGGACAAGAGACAGGGCCTTCTCGGTGATGGCCCCACGGCTGTGGAACTTGATCCCCAGTGACATCAGAACAGCCCCCTCACTCTGAAGCTTCAGGAAAAAATCTTAAGACCTGGCTATTTAAGCAAGCCTCTGGGGATTAATATAACCCATAATGATGACAGAAACTGTTTAAGAACGAGGAAATCAATTATTTATTTTTATTTATTTATTTATGACATTTATATTCCGTCCTTCTCACCCCGAAGGGGTCTCAGAGCAGCTTACAAGATATATACACATACAATATATTAAATTATTAGCATAGTACAATATCAATATTATATATTAGTTTAATGCTTACAAAGCTCAGTTGGTGCTAGATTTTTGATGTTTGATATGTTCTAATTGTTGAATAGACTATTTAATTGATATGTATATGTTTTTTACAGTTTTATAAGTTTGTGTTTATTGTTTTGTTAAGTACAGTAAATATAAATAAATAATAAATATCCCTATAGATATTAGATCAGCCACTTCCCTTTTAATATTCCGGAAAAAAGTCAAGACGTGGCTTTTTGAACAAGCATTTCCAAATGCAGAGTAACTGACATAGGAAAATAGAACAATGACAATGAGACCGGACAACGTTTTTAACAAGGTGACACTAAGAATTTATATTTTATTAATATGTTTAATTTTTCTTATATGTTATGTTTTTAATTGTATTTATGATATTTATTAGAGTTTAAGATTCTCTGCACATTGCACTTGCCCGGAAATCCAAAATACCACCTGCCACACCCAGCACTTTTTAAACCTGTACCCATCACTGGCCCGGCCCTGGTTTTTATTACGTAATTGATGTATTGTTTTGTTATTGCTTATGTTTTAATTTGCTTTAAATTGTATTGTTACTGTTTTGCTGTTGTTGTGTTGAGGCCTTGGCCTTTGTAAGCCGCATCTGAGTCCTGCGGGAGATGCTAGCGGGGTACAAATAAAATTTAATAATAATAATAATAATATTGTAAGCATTGAATTTTACCCTGTTAACGGGCTGAGAAAGGCGGTATACAAATACAGTAAGTAAGTAAATAAATAAATATAAATATAGCAAATTATCCTATGAACCTTTGGCAGGCTCTGCTCTGTTGCTCTATAAGTTAAATTAGGCCAACAACTTTCTTTTACTACCTTCAGTGAAATACTCACATAGAATCATAGAATCAAAGAGTTGGAAGAGACCTCATGGGCCATCCAGTCCAACCCCCTGCCAAGAAGCAGGAACATTGCATTCAAATCACCCCTGACAGATGGCCATCCAGCCTCTGTTTAAAAGCTTCCAAAGAAGGAGCCTCCACCACACTCCGGGGCAGAGTTCCACTGCTGAACGGCTCTCACAGTCAGGAAGTTCTTCCTCATGTTCAGATGGAATCTCCTCTCTTGTAGTTTGAAGGCATTGTTCCGCGTCCTAGTCTCCAGGGAAGCAGAAAACAAGCTTGCTCCCTCCTCCTGTGGCTTCCTCTCACATATTTATACATGGCTATCATATCTCCTCTCAGCCTTCTCTTCTTCAGGCTAAACATGCCCAGCTCCTTAAGCCGCTCCTCATAGGGCTTGTTCTCCAGACCCTTGATCATTTTAGTTGCCCTCCTCTGGACACATTCCAGCTTAGAGTCAATATCTCTCTTGAATTGTGGTGCCCAGAATTGGACACAATATTCCAGGTGTGGAACTTTCCTTGTAACTCTTGAGCATTTTAAAGGCACATCACCCAGAGCAGTGGTTCTCAAGCTGTGGGTCCCCAGATGTTTTGGCCTTCAACTCCCAGAAATCCTAACAGTCACTCTCATTTCAACGGCGTAATAACAATGAGTCCGCAGACTATATTTTAGTTCTTGCAGACCACTGGTGGTCCATGGACCACAGGTTGGAACCACTGCCCTATACAGACAGGTTCCCCCTTCCTATTCATGCCCTGAGTCCACCTCGGGGTGAGAAGGGCGGGGTATAAGTAAATGAAATAAATAATAATAAATAAATAATAAATTTGAGAGAACCCCAAATACGTTTACATTGGTAATACTCTTGTTTCTCTTTCCAAATTGCTCATAACTAGGGTTGCTAGGTGAAAAAAAAAAAACCAGCCCTCTTAATAGCTATGTAGAAGAGGGAATTTCAGCAGGTGTTTGGTGTTATGTATGTATCATTTGCTGAAAATCCCTGTTGCTGTTGTGAGTCTTTGAGTCATTTCCAACTTATGATGTACCTACCATAGGTGTGTGTGTGTGTGTGTTCGGACTTGTCCAGAGAGAACTTGCTTTCTCCTTCCTCCGAGAATAAAAAAGTGTGACTTGTGTGGCTTTCCTAGACAAACGAGGATCCAAATCACAAATATCTTCACCAGTGGTTCTCAACCTGTGGGTCCCCAGATGTTTTGGCCTTCAACTCCCACAAATCTTAAACTGGCTGGGATTTCTGGGAGTTGTAGGTCAAAACACCTGGGGACCCACAGGTTGAGAACCACTGACCCAGAAGTTCCCAAACTTTGGTCCCTCCAGGTGTTTGGGACTTCAACTCCCAGCTTGGCTAAGCATTAAGAATTCTGGGAGCTGAGGTCCAATCCAAAACACCTGGAAGGGCCCAAATGCAGGAACCACTGACTGGGAAACTTCCCCAAGGTCAGCAGCAACAACTGACGAGGAGGGAGGCAAAGGAAGAAGGAGACATGGCTCCTGGCTGCGGCCTAGGCCTGTGTCCCTCGCCTGGGCCCACCGCTGACTCCCCAGACCCACCTTACCACGGGCTTCAGCTGGGAGACTGCTCTGACGGGGCTCGGAGGGAGGGAGGCAGGGCGGGAGGGAGTCCCCACGGTGCCGCCGGCGCCTCCGGGAAGCCCGCCCCCTCCTCCTCCGCCTCCTTCTCTCCTCGGTGCAGGCCGCCGCCCCTCCCCTTCGCCCTCACGGCGTCATCATCGCAAGAGGCACCGCCAGCCAATAGGAGGCCGCGTCGGGAGGGGGCGGTGCGTGCGCCAGTCACGCCGCCGAGACGTGGCCGCCGCAAATAAGGGGGAGGGGGGGAGAGAGAGTGAGAGCGAAGGTTTGCCCCGCTGCATTCTGGGAGGTGTGGTTCTTTTCCGGAGAGGGGCTTTGAGCACGTGACATCGCGAGCGCGCTTAGTGGGGAAAATAGGGCGCCGTTGGTTACGCGAATTGCGTAACAGGATACGCCGCCTGCGGAAGGAGCGACCGTTGGAAATGGAACGCCTCCAGTGGAGGGGGAGGGGTGGATCCAACGGTCGCTTCTCCAGATTGGCGCTTTCAAAATATAGTTTAAAAAAAAAAACACTGAAAGGGAGGGGCAGTATCCATGACATGGCTACCAGTATTAAAAAAACTCTAAAATTACAACAGCAGAGAGGAAACAACCAGGCACATCTTAACACCTCTCAACAAAAGATTCCCCCAGGCTCAGCCACGCCTTCAAATGCTAATGAAGGTGGTCAGTTGAAACATTCACACCTAGCTCCAACAGACAAGAGTTCTTTGTCCCACCCTGGCCATTCCACAGATATATAAACCCATTTTCCCTAATTCCAACAGACCTCACTACCTCTGAGGATGTTTGCCATAGATGCAGGCGAAACGTCAGGAGAGAATGCCTCTAGAACATGACCCTATAGCCCGAAAAAACCCACAAGAACCTCATGACACTTTTATTTATTTTATTTGTTGTGTCAGGGCAACCAGTCAATTGTATTACATTTCTAACAGAACAAAACAAACAAACAGACAAAATACAAAATTTGCGAGTTTGGTAGTTGATTAAATGTCCTTTGACCAGTAGCTGGCCACTTGGAGTGCCTCTGGTGTTGCTGCAAGAAGGTCCTCCATTGTGCATGTGGCAGGGCTCAGGGTGCATTGCAGCAGGTGGTCAGTGGTTTGCTCCTCTCCACTCGCATGTCGAGGATTCCACTTTGTAGCCCCATTTCTGAAGGTTGGCTCTGCATCTCGTGGTGCCAGAGCGCAGTCTGTTCAGCGCCTTCCAAGTCGCCCAGTCCTCTGTGTGCACAGCCCATTGGTTGAGGTTCTGGGTTTGAGCCTGCCACTTATGGACTCTCGCTTGCTGAGGTGTTCCAGCGAGTGTCTCTGTAGATCTTAGAAAACTATTTCTAGATTTAAGTCGTTGACGTGCTGGCTGATACCCAAACAGGAGATGAGCTGGAGATGTGGGGGGGGGGCTTTTCAGCCCCCCCCCCCTGAAATTCTCGTGGTGGTCCGTGAGAAGGCCTTTCTGGTACATTATTTAAACTGTTATGTTTATTCATATCATGATCTGATCACCATGCTCAATATATCCCATATGCATGGGGGTATTGGGACGATACTGTAGGGGCAACGAAACCAAAATATTTCCCAAAAGGCAGAAGCCCCCTTTCCAATAGGGAGGGCAAGGATGGACACCACGAAAGTTGAATCCTTTAAACTGCAAAAAACTATTTATTATTGTGTGGCCATAGCAATAACGACAAACAAGCATACAGGGATGCAATCAAAGGGTTTGTCGCAACCCCCAATGGGGCTGCAGAGCATTTATAGTAAATGGAATATACATTTTCATTGGTTCCCAAAGACAAATCATTTCATTGGTCTAAGTTAGTTATGCAGTTGTTCATTAGTTGTTTATGATTTTGATTGACATTATAGCACACGTGGGATCCTAACAATGGCACAACTATAACATAACTATAGTCCATTGTTCTCTGACCATGACTGTATCTTATCTGTTAGTCTGTTGCAAACATAGCTCCAGAGCGACTAGGAAACTTGGGGGTTCTAACTAGCCAACAGCTAGCTGGTTTTGTCCGGATATACTGTTATCCTTGAATAGTAACTTCTTCTTTGGAGCACCGATTTCTCAAACAATCAGCATTTTCTGTGAACATAGGCCTACTGCAGAAATAGGCCAATGTGGCAGTAAATCATGACATATGGGCATTGGGAAGATCTCTGAAAATTCCCTTTTTAAAACCACGTCCCCTCCAAAAATAGGTTGGGAACCACTGTTGTAAATGCTTGAAAGACCCCCTCTGATCTTGAAACCTAAGCCAGCCTTGCTTAATACCTGAATGGTAGGCTCTATTTCAGAGGAAGGAACCAATAAAACCACTTCTGAGTCTTCCTGGCCTTAGAAAACCCTATGAAATTTGTGGGGTTGCCATACATCAAAAAGAGATGTGAAGAAAGGCAGAAACCAAGAGAGAAAGAGCTGTTCCTTATGGGAAGGAACAAGGAAGAAAGGGAACCAGTGCGAGGAAGCTGGCCCTGCCCAAAGGATGCCTTGGGAGTAGCCTGTACCTGCCTGGCAATTATTATATACTTCTGTATTGTTATGTACACTTTCATTAATTGATGGTGAAATCTGCAACCTGTATCTGGGCTTCAGCAATTCATGCCACAGGTAGGAGCTCTAAGGATTGGATGTTCCTGTCTCTCTGTGTGTATGCCTGTATGCTTTCAAGTTGCTTGTTGACTTCTGACAACCCATTAATTTCAAGGATTTTGCCAGTTCCTTCTTCTAAAATATAGCCTACACCACTTGGTATTTGTTGTTGGCTTCCCATCCGTGTACTGACCACAGCTGACCCTGCTTAGTGTCTGAGATCAGGTAAGACTTGAACCTTTAGAGTACATACGGTAATAATGTAATTCCCAAATACTGAAAAAGTAATGCTGTGATCCTACATGTGCTTGGTGCATGCTGTCACTTCCGCTTTGGGTAATAGCAGCCCTATGAATGATCAAATGCTCTAAAGCAGGCAGTTAGGAGTTGAATTATAAAACTCCTAGAAGGCCAAAGTTTGCCCATGCCTGCTCCAAAGGCATCAGATTTCAAGAAAACTCTATGAAATTCATGGGGTCACCATAATTTGACAGGTGAATTGAAAACATGCGCAAACAGCATCCCTCCAAGTCACCCTCTTTTCTACTATCCTGCTCAGATCTTGCACACTCAGGACTGTGGCTTCCTCAATTGAGTCTGGCATGTGGTCCTCCTCACCTGCTTACTTATGAGTAAATCACATTAGGCTTAAGGGATCTTACTTCTGAGTAAACTCTGTTTAGTGTATTGTCATCTGAACACGGTAGTCATTATATGCTCACCTGCTTGTTAAGTCACACAAAACATAGATCTTGAGAAACATGATTCACCATCTCTTATACAGCAGCATAGCATAGGTTTTTAATAGTGTGTTTTAAAGCACAGTGTGGCTTCTGAATATAGAGCCTCGTCATTGTTGTTGTGTGCCAAGTCTTTTCTGATCTATGGTGATCCCAAGGTGGAGCTTTCATGAGTTTTTCTTGGCAAGATTTGATCGGGGGGGGGGGGGGGGGGTTACATTTGCCTTTTCCCTCTGAAGCTTAGAAAATATGACTTGTCCAAGTCATCTAATGTGTTTCCATCGCTGAGTAGGGATTCAAATCCTGGTCTCCAGTCATGGCCCAGTACTCAAACCAGTATACCATTCTGGCTCTAGCACCTTTTGCCTATAAATATTCTTTATCATTGATTTCCTGGAAACAATTAAGCCAGAGTGTTTCTGAAATAAAAGTTGAGATCACGGGGGCTAGTAACAATATTTGGAAGCTGCTGGCTGTGGCTCTAACACACACACACATAAAATCAGAGAACTGTAGAGATGGTTTGTTTGCAAAATCTGTAATCAATTCACTTATTTTAATAGCATATGGAATATATGGAATCATATACATACTTTTAAGCATTGCCCTTGTGGATTCCGTATGAAGGTAGCCTGTAGAACTAGGATTGTGTTTGCATGAAGATTTCTACAAGCAAATCAGTAGTTAACCTGTAGAACTAAGACTGCGTTTGCATGAATAGTTCTGCAAGCATATATCTTCCTCATGCTCAAGACCTTTCACAGCATGCGGTAACAGCTGACTAGCTGCTGCAATTTAAGGCCAGAGCAAACAAGAAATCCAAACAAAAATGCAGTTAGTGCTGATTCTATTGTTCAAGTAACTCAGATAACCCAAGCAATACCTTTTAAAGGGGCCAATGGAACATCATCAGTTCCAAAAGTTGCGCCTCATCATGTAGAACATTTTAAAGGATACAAGAGAGTAAATTTCATGGATGGTGCAATCCACCTGAGACGTCAAAGTATGGTAACTTGAGCTGAACCTGACTAGAGTTAATTTATGTTATTATCACAACCAGGAGGAAAAGAAAACTGACGTGAGCATAATGGTCATAGGAAATGGAAAATGAAGAGGAAGAAAACAGTCTGTTCCAAGGATCATTTGTAGCTTGCACCGAGACTATAGTTTACTTTAATGTAAGCTCTGTTGAGTTCTATGGATCACCTGACGCAAAGGTTTGCAGAACTTTGTGGCATCGGAATGAGACTAAAATGTCGAAATAAGTTATTTTTCAAAAAATAGAATAAAACGGTGTATAAGGTAAAGGTAAAAGTTTCCCCTTTACATTAAGTCTAGTCGTGACCGACTCTGGGGGTGGTGGAGCTCATCTCTATTTCTAAGCCAAAGAGCCGGTGTTGTCCATATACTCCTCCAAGGTCATGTGGCTTGCGTGACTGCGTGGACTGCCATTACCTTCCCACCTATTGATCTACTCCCATTTGCTATGTTGGCAGAAGCTGGGGCTAACAGTGGGCGCTCACCCTGCTCCTGGGATTCAAACCACCAACTTTTCAGTTATCAAGTTCAGCAAATCAGCAGTTTAACCTGCTGCATCCACTGGAGACTCCTAAAACAATGTATAAATAAAACCAATAATTGAAATGTTTTATGTAGAAAAATGTTAGTTGGCCTCCTTAGCTATGTGACTTCCTATATGAATATCTGATTTCCATTCATTGCAATGCAGCAACAAATACAAGGGTGCATCTTGAATAAAGAGGTACTG